TTAAAATCTCATACAAATCATCTTGTTAAAGACATTTAGAACACTAAAGACTTTCATCATATTATGAATTTCTTGTTGAAATGATGACAACCAAGTGGTATTTCTTGTGTTGTTACTGTGCCACCCACCTGTTTGGAAGTTTCTCGAACTAAGTAAATAATAAAATGTATTATCGATTCAGAGCAAAATAATTGATTACTCTTAATTAATTTTTTTATTCAATGGGCCCGTCTGTTTATTTTAAATGCCAATATTTTTCCCTTTTTCAGATGGACTGTGTTTGTTTTGAAATATGTATACTGGGTCCATATGTTGGAAGTGGTGAAATTTTAATTAATAGTCATTGATTAGCTGGGATACATATCAGTAGTAGGCTGGGTACTTTGGTGAGAATGCAATAAGTGGTGGCTCATAATCCAGTATTGTTGAGTACACATCTTTGGAAATGTTGCTCTCAGCTTGGTAAGATTTCCGGTCTCATTTATGGTTGGTCAGTGCTTTTAGCATCTGGTTTTTTAATGCCACCTCTTGTGGTTGCACTGTGTACTTTCAACTCTGATAGTTCTTACGTTCCTCACACCTTCATATAACTATCTGTTGTCTTATGCATTAGTTTTTGCCATTTGAATACCCTACCTGAAGTAACCTCAACTGCATCCACATCTAGCAACCCAACAACAGTATGATCCCCAAAATTGGGGAAACAAGCAACAACAACAAAACAAAAAACAATAACATACAGCTCCCAGTACCTGTCTGTGGCATGGACGTGTAAAGGGAAAGGCATTAAGTGATTTTTCTCTCAAGATGGTATGGTATTGTGAATTAATTTTTTGTAGGCCTACATGTACATATGTGTGCTAATTGTACTTTTTATGCTACAAGAAGTACATCAATATGTAATATTGGAAAGAAAAGACAAGGATTACAATCTGAAGCCCCTCCCCATTGCCTTCTCCAACCAAGACTTCTATTTACATGTTGCTTCTTAATTCCAGCTTGCCTGTTGTTCAGTATAAAGCCAGTTTCAAAATCTCATTGTTGTGCATGTACATGTACGCTGTAGGTTCTACATACAGATTCATTTTGTACCAGTGTCTGGAGAGATTTAGCCCAGGATTCTTAACTTCCCCATTTTTCTTGTGGAAGTATGTGACACTGTGTATTTGCTAATGTATGTGTGCTGTTGTTTGTGTTCTACTTTCCAAATCGGCCTTATGAGTGGAGTGTCCTGGTGCTTCATCATTGTAACACAAGTGGCCTTCATGTAGTGTCTGACATCATAATCACTGAGTTTGTGTTATTGAGCATTTGTTCAATTTTAATATGACTGTACAGGTTCCTGATCCATTAGAAGTGATACAAAAAACCTACTGAGTTATAGAGTATGAGCACCAGACATTTAGAAGTGATAACGCCTCCAGACTATCATTATCATTGGGTAGCTGAACTTACGTACCTGACTGATGTGGATTTTTTGGATCTCAAATTGTCGAACTCGACTTTGTTGGCCATATTAGGATGAAAATTTGAAAAAAGGTTCATGTGCATCATGAAAAGGGAAGCCAGGAACAGTAAAGCAAAACAAAAACCAATCTGCTAATTATCAGATGTAACATATTGTGTAAGTGGTAAATGCAGGAGGTCATAGTTGAATGAATTATATTTGTGATTTTCAAAGAAAACGTAATCCAGGTAGTTTGTACTTGGTTAATGCTTTTTTTAAGCAACTGAAGAATGATACAAAATTTTAAAACATGTCACATTTTATAATTTGATCTTGACTGTAATTTGTCATTTTCTACGAAGGCTTTATGATTTGAAGAAGTAGAAAATGATCAAAGTCTATCATTCTTTTGATGTCATAAAATTGTTGTTACATCAAGACATTGGTATAAGATTCATTTGCTGCAGTGTGTCTGTGCCTAGCTAGTGTGCAGATGTTGTTTAGTTAGGTGCATTGCAAGGTGCATTAGCTGGGCAAACACTCCAGTACTCTACAGCACCCCAAGGCTGGCAGATTCCCATCCCCTTTGGCTGAGAAAAGCCAGGTGTATAAACCCCCTTGGTTAATGACAGTGCATTACATGGCGCCACATGATCCTAGTTCCCTGGCATTTATGTGACCAGCAGGCAGGTGAACTGACTAGTCTACATGTACTTCATTGTCCCTCTATGTCCGTGCTCCTCCTCAGCCCTCATGGCACAGGGTTGTTACTGCCAAAGCAGACCCAAACACCTTAATGAATTCCCCTGACTCAAGATGCCCATTGATTTTTTTCCATGTATTATCTTGTCAACTAAGTTTCTTCTGTATCAGTAGTCTTTCATTTAAGTCTGCCACATCCAAAAAGTTAAAAAACACCAAGGCTCTGTGCAGCAGCTGTGTTTGCCTAAGCAGGATCACTTGAAATCAGAGAGACTGGCTCAGAGAACGCTGGTTGTATATAAAGCAGGAAATTCATATGGTGTGTACATGCATGCCGACATCAAGTCAGTCTGGGTTTGTGGCAGCCAGTAGACATCAAAATATTGGAGCAAAGTAACAGATGGAACATATAAAATTTGGCAAATGAGTCACATATTCCATGATCCGCTTACTGTACAAGACCTGCGGCTTCCATTTCATTTACATTTACCCCGTTTAGTCATTTTTATAAACAACATGTGTATGAGCCGTAACATTTCTATCAGCAGCGTTTATTTTGGGGTTTCCTTTTAAGGGAATCTTTTCAGAAGTTACATGTAGGGACTTTGAAATAATTTTTAATGTTTATAATTTATTAATCCTATTTGTAAAATTCTCTTTTTTACTTCCAGTCTTGTCAGTTGTTTCCATATTGCTTTGGCACTGTCTCTGTCACTTGTAGTATTCATTGTACATTTTCTTGACACACAAGGGCGTTCTTGAATACATCTTTTCATGGACATTATATGTGTTATTTTGTAGCAGCATAGTGCAGTTTTCCATTCTACTTAGAAGTACATTGTAATGTGGTGACCCATCAAGTTTTGCTTGTCTCCTAACCATGTTTGAAAAGTACACGCAGCCACTGGTGGATCCAGAACCAAATAAGTTTTTTAGGGGGGGCCAACAATTTTCAGGGCACCAAATTGGGGAATTTATTTGTCATGTAACCTTTTATGACCTTTCTGTTGAATAAAGAAAAATTGCAGTCCTCTTGCAGATTTAGGAAAGGAAATGAAATAGTCCCTCAAAGTTGCCCCTTTTCTCATAAACTTAAAACAAATGTCCCTTTTTGGGAGGCATGGTCCCTGCCCCCCCCCTCCATCCACCAGTGCACATTGCCACCATGCTTCAAGTCTGGCCCCCAAGTTCAATCTTTGGGTGCTGCTATTGCATTCTGGAATATTTTTTCTTAGACAACATTATCCTGATGGAAAGAGGTGGCTATGAATGCCTGATATTGCTTCAGTCTTAGGATAAAAATAGACTACCTCCTGAATGACCAGAAATGCACTAAACCCGAACTCAAAAAAAAGGAGAAACCTTAGTTGGCCCTGAACTCCCTGCTAAGTGTTCCAAAAATTATCAGGCCCCAAAGACTTCAAAATTTCCATTTTAGTAAACGATTCTGGCTTTTAACTTCAGAATACTAATTATTTTTCTTTTCTTGAATGAATCAAACAAAATATGTTCTTCATCTAATAAGCATTAATAAACATAAGATATGAAACACACCAACTGTTAAACTATTACACAGCCTTCCCTTCACAATATTTCACATGAATATGGAATATTTTATGCTTGTAATTGTATCATAAATTGACAGTAAAATAACCCCAAATAATAACTTCTATTATAATACACATGATTATTCATTCAAGGCTTTTACATGCTAAAGCAAATCAGTGTGGTGTGGTTATTGGAAGAAATATTTTCCATTTTGTCCTCTTGAATTAATTTGGCTGCATCCTTATTAATTGAGAGCATGGAGCTCAGCATCATTAACCAGTGAACAGCTCATGATGGAACTGAACCTGCAATGACTGCGAGTAGCAGTATCGCTCACGCGGAAGGCTGCAGTAGTGTTGAAATACTTCTGAACTTTGAACAATTTTTGTTGGAAATTTGGATGCTGAATCAAAATATTGCTTCGGTGATCCCATCAATTTTGCTTAGATTATATTATCAGCTTGATATAAGTAATAGTAGAATTACATTTTGGCTGGCTTTGTTGTGGGACACAAGAATATATCGCACTTGCCATCATAATAATGTATTCATCTTTTAACTGGTTTATCTCAAAGCAATCCAATTTCATTCTGATGATTGTGCATTCGTGAAAAGAGCTGGCATTGTCCATTCCTTGGTTAGATTATTTTGCTGTGAGCCCAAAGCGTCACCGTTTTCACAAAGCCACACATGAAGATTTTGAAGAAAAACTGGTTTTCAAGAAATCGCCCAAGAAGCTTCTCCCATTTTAAAACTGCAAAACTACCAATGAGTCTTTGAGAGGTAAACTTTTGCCTGAACCAAGAAATTAAAATGAATACAGTGGTTAATTAGCCAAAATGAATTAGTAAAGGTGCACCTTTCCTACTTTTTGACCCTTCTTTGCTGTGTATTTTTCCATAGGGAAGTGACACACATGTTAACTGTAAATGTAACAAAGAAGTGTGGCTCTTCGTGACAACGAAAATCTTACTTGACCTACTTTTCGGCCTTCCCCATCAATACATTTTGTACATGTATGAGGAGTAGTAACTTGTAAAGTCTGTGTCCCTTCGTGAAAATGCAAAATGTGCTTAGCGAGATTTTGGCCCCTAACAACATGAATGTAATTGAAATCGAAAAATGTTACTTCCAACGTGTGGCTCTTTGTGAAAACGGTGATGAAAGGTGATCACAGTCTGTAACCCAGTTATTCAAATGTTGATTGTTATTTGAACAAAATGCCCTGAAATCCATGCTGACTTCAGGAAGGGATACATTTTCTGTGTGATGTAAGTCACTTCTTACCTCTTCTATTCTGCAGATTCAGCTGAAAGAGCACTGGATCCCTTGAATAAAGGTAAGCTATTTTTAGAGAAATTCTTTGAGCCAAAACATGCAATAAAAATAGTACAAAACATTCAAATTAGTACTCCATTCGTGTCAAAGTAGGGACACTCATTCTACAAGTTGTGCGTACATGTATGTGGTTACTCAAAACCAACTCTGTGCATTACCTGTTGTGAAATGGCAATGGCACTCGACGTGATGGCGCAAAATTTGCACACTCTGACAACTGTTGTTACATGTACCAATTTGTGTATACAGTACCATGATTGCTACCTAGAACTTAGAAGAGAGCTGGAAATCTGACAGATGAATTCAAACAAGCACAATTTTGCAATTACCCTCTTTTTGTGTGAGGAAAACATTTGAATATATTTATAGAGGATTTCTTGAAACAAGGTTAAGCATTTGGAACTGTTTCAATTTTTCCAAGGTAAATTGATTGTAAGGTTAGTTGAATTTTTAATTTAAAAAATGTTGATCCCAATCCTAAACACTGAAGGCAGATCATTGGCTGAAGCAATGCATTGTCGACTGGCTAAAACCAGGGGTGATCCAATTTGATCGTTTGAACTTTGAAGGAGGCCCCGTACCCCATCTCAAAATTTATGCAGAAAGAAATCCATATCCTAAAGGTTGCCAAAGCTAATTTTACTTTGGAAGTCATTGTAAAGATGTTAGCTTGATTAAGTGAGCTGGACATTTTAACAATTGCTGGTGTTGAGCTTCTGTGCTTAGGCAGTAGAGTGGCATTTTACAACATACTGATGAGGACCAGTTGATTTAACATCTTGATTGGAATGGTCTTTAACATACCTTTGCCTGAGTATAGTGCAAACCTATCATACACAAATCTATTCAATTTTTTTCTCACCCAGCTTTGCAAAAGAGCATACACAGGCTGACTGGTGTGCCTGCTTTTTTCTGTACACTCTTTCCAGTCACTGATCTATTGCACAGACAAGATCAATATGAAGGTGAAAGCATAGGTTCAATAAATTGTTTTGTCAACAGGCATCAAAGGTTCATGTCTTATAAGTGTTCTCTGGTCCATGTCACGCTCACCTTACTTTGTGTCGCAGTCATTGTTGATAACAGACAGAATTAATTGCTTTTACAATAATAACAGTATTTTAGATGGATTACCAACATTAGGAGTACAATTGGAAGTAGTTATTAGTTGTATAAACACACTCATGAAAGAAAAAGTTACGGCATCTAAAATATTATGGAAATGAACGGAATAGTAGGAAAGAGGCCTGACATGACACTATCATAGCATAGTGATTGCATTGCATGCTGGCACTCTGCTTTTTGGAACATACACAACATGTACATGTACTGTACATGTACATGTAATCTCACATGTAGGCCGAGATCATGCACTTGTGGGCACAAGATCCTGAATATTGATCACATTGGCTTTTGGATTATTCAGTACATTTAAATATTGACATGAGGAGATGAGCAGGTGTTCAGCAGGGCAATTTTTCCTCCTGCTCTCCTGTATCCCATCATCATCATTATCATCACCTTCATCATTACTGCTACAACCATCAGCCTCATACACAGTAGAATGATGAACTGTGTTTATGCACCATGGCTAAGTAAGTGAATTGTATTGTACATGTATGGTACGTTGAAAGCTGGAACCTAACTGTGCATCCTCTGACTCCATACTAGTAACTTAATAGCCTGGCTCTCTAGAGGATGATGTGGCACACACAACAGTGGGATGAACTCTGCATCATGTACATGTATTGTCATCATTTATGGTCATTTGAAGGAGTCATTTCCTTTGAATGCTGCATATTTATGATGTAGTATTATTACAGCTGTCTGCTATGTATGGAATATGCAGTGTCACTTGTCAGACAATGTAAGGTTCACAACTGTGATATTTTATGTTTTGTTTTATTTTGTCTTCTTAGTATAAATCAAATCTTATGTCCTTCTGATTGTGAAATTTAAAACCTTATTCACCATTTAAAGCTGAATCCCATGAAATAAAAAGAGTTATATAGATTGCAAGTCACACCTGCCGAGTGGCAGGTGTATGTTAGGTTTTTTTGTGGACTGGTCATGCGTCACAAAAAACTGTAGTCAAGTACCAGCATTTTTTATGCTCTGATTGTTGATTCAGGTATCCAGGGTTCAACCTACAGACTTGCTGGGTTCAACAGAATAACTGGGTGTTACAGTACTTTAGGTGTGTAGAAATTAAGGACTTTAAGTTAAGTTAATTTTACCATTTTGGTTTTGTAAACAGCTTGAGGGGGTAGTTCCAGCACAAAATATTGCCACACTGGCTATGGCCTCCAACTTGGAGGTTAGCCAATCAGGATGAATCACCCAGCTTGTGCCTAGCTCTATAAAAAATAATGGAGTAGAAATAGCTAGGTGTGCAACAGGTGTTAGTTGTAAAACAGGTGGGTTTGAGTGAAAGCTGATGACTTCCTGGGGGGTATGAGGGTGTGTTCATGAAGTGTGGAAGGTTAGGCCAGGGGCCAGCTGCACCCTGGCAGGTGTGGTCAGAGGTGTGGCTGTTCAGATGTATTTAAAGGACATTTTCCAAAGTAATTCACCAAATTTCCGAAATTCTGATTCAGTTCTTCTCACTTTGTACATGATGCCCTCAAGAACTCTATTGACTTTCACCGCAGACTCACATTTAATCGCATTTAGACCATTTTCAATTCACTTATTTTTACCTTGAAGTGTTCTGAAATATGGTTACAGTTAAAACCACTATGTTTGATACAAATGTATTATAGACATTCACAAAGTAATAAAGATAGATACATGTAGCTGCATGGTACATTTTCTGTCATTGTCTTTCATTGAGAAAGGGAATAGCTCTAAGCCCAAATTGTGGTCTGCTCTTGTGAAGTCACAGATGTGTTTTTCCTACAAGTGGCTGTTAAACCTATGGTTGGTCGTTGGTAGTACAAAAATAAAAGAATAACTGGCAAAGTGTTGAAAATCTGACACAACTTTCAGAACACCAGGTAATAATACATGTACTTCTAAATACTAAATGAAAAACAACTGAATTTAAAAATAATTGGACAAATGTCTGTTTTAAATGAGTATGAGGGAAAATTGAAAACTAACCAAAAGGTGATATTTCTTCAAACTTTGGCTTCCCATAAAGGTTGTAGGCAACATGAGAGTGGTCTGTATGCTCATTGACTCTTTTACTGCATCTTATATATATACAGTGTTTTCTTCAAATAATCCATTCTTGTCATATGCAGATGATACAGTTCATCTGTGGTCTGAAATTTGTCATGAGATATATGACCTTCGTATCTTGCCTGAGGGCACTAGGCTCAATGCAACCTGGTGTGAAGATCCCTGTGGAGGTAGGAATTTCATGTTTGGACAGGCAGCTGGAAAGGTTTTATAACAAGAACTGGTGAGCTCTACCTTGCTTGAATGCCACATATTTCCAGGTGCAATTTGTACAGTTGGGAAGGCAATCCAGAAGTTTACATGTACCCCCTACATGGGGTGCAGCTGGTTCAGATAGAGAGGTGGTGTGGTGGTTAAGGTTTGTGTCATTTCCAGGTATTTGCAGTGAATGTGTTTAAATTGGATCTTAATGGTCCAAAGGCTGCATTGGGTCTCAGAACTGAAAGTTATTGACCCTTTGGTTAAATCTATCTGAACACTGTGTGCAGTCATAAGTGGCGTTCTCCATCTGAAGATATTTTCGTAGTGTGTTTCTTATGCCACTGAACTTAAAATCGAGATCTTTCGATTGCTTGGAGCTTTACTCCAAGTTAATATTGCAGTTGATCGGTGAGGCTAATATTCTTCCTGATTGCATGAAATGGGTATACATTTATTTTGTGAGCAGGGAGATGATCTGCTGAGTTGACTTATAGATCCTGAATTAATCCAGATTGAAGATTCAATTTAGGAACTCACCTCCATCTTCAACAGAGTGGCAGTGTTTGAGAAAGAAGTAACATCCGATTTGTTTCAGGCCTTAAACTGCTAACTTGAAGTACATTTATCATAGAGTAGTCAAAGTGCAAGTATTTCATAAATTTCACTTTTACAAGGTGAGGTCTACTTCATTGCATGGCTGTGTTGGCAGGGAGATTCTACATGTACATATTTATTATTGATAAGGAAGTATGTGTGTTCAGTTAAAGAAACTGGGACCAGGGGTTCAGATCCAACAACGCTACCTCTCAACGTTTGCAATGGAGAGATATCAGAGTGGAACATGCCCTCCCCCATTTACCACTGTAGGAATGGCAGTGACCTCAGGCAGTGTTATGTGTGGTCATCTTTTCCCTTCAACACCCAGTGACCAGACTTTGTTTGCTTCCCAGTTATTTTAAATTTTTCTACCTCCATGTTTAAATAAACTGAGCTTTTGAGGTGTGAAACAAATGACCTTGTTATCTTAATTGCATGTGTATCAGTAGCCTGGTTTAAAGCCCTTTAACAGGAGTGCTGGAAATGGGGTCCCTGGTGATGAAATTGCATTAAAAACACCATCGTACAGATATAGTGCCACCAAATCACAAAGGTTCATGTGTGATCATTGCAAGGATCCAGACTTCCTCTAAAATTTGTAGGGGTGCCTAATCCTTGCTATTATCTCCAAGATTGGTCATGGGAATGTAAAGCATGCTGTTTTCGCAAGGATGGTGTATGTTGAAGTCCAATACACTCACTTTGCTTTTGCTGTCATTCAAAATGACAGTTCAGGTATATACTGCCCACTACTGATAGTCTTGAGGCCATCTGGTTCCACACATGCATTATTGCAGTTTTTATATATTCGAGGGGTGGGAACCAGATCTATGACGTTCAGGCCTTATTATCCAGAGTTACGAATACCAAAACAAATTACCCTTATTTCTTTGCAAAATAAATTCCTGAGAGCCACAAATAAGAAACAAGAGGAAAAACAAAACATTCTCTTCACAGCATTTCCGAGAATTGTAGTTGATATCTTCTGTTTATAAATCGGACACCAATAAAGCACAATAC